CCATGGCTATTAAGTCAGTTGAAATGGATGCTCAAGGTCAGCCAATGCTGACGATGGCACGTCGTGATTCAGATTGGCTGGAAGTTTTGGTTGATACCAATCCACTAAATCGTGAAGAAAACAACTATGATCAGTTCTTTAAATTATCTATTGCTCCAACCCTTTTAAAGTACCACGCACTCGCTATTAACGCATTACTTGACGTACTGAAACCTCCAGAAAGTGTTCGACTCCACAAGTAAATGAACTTTTGTATTATTACCAATTCCTTATAATTTTTTCAGATGTAAGTTCACAACAGCAGTGCTTTTTTCTACCATGTGATGTTTTAAGGTTAGCAGCAGCCGCGATGGCACGTTACGAGGATGTTAAAATGCGTTCCATCACTGGTTTGAGCCACGCCGTAGAAATGAAGAACAAATTGGTTTTGGATATAAGTATCGCTCCAGCCACTATCGTCGTTTCTGAAACAGGGGTGTTTAAGGAAGAAAATACGGCACTTGTTCTTGATTTAGGTGTTCTTGAAATTAAAAGTGTCGAGGAGGAAACCTATAGCCATGAAACAGTTTTTGAGGTAGGATGATTCTTTTAAGTAGCTTCGTTGCTCTCACAAGCTTTTTTAAATTATTCTTTTTTTATGCAGAGTGAAAAAACGGTCGAGGAACGGAGGGATGAATTGTTAAAACGCGCCTACGACAAATTTGACATCAAGCTTTCGAATGTCCGTGTAACGTTGGGTAATGATTACCAGACCTCTATGAAATGTCTTGAGGTTCCGTCATCTCCATGTCACATTCTGCGTCCAACAGGAATGGCTATACAAGTCCATAAGTCATCCATAAGTGATATTCAGCTGCCGAAGTTTGTTTTTTTGCTACTTTTGCCTTAATGGCCCTTAATCTGAATTTTTGTCAGGTCATTATTAGTTCATTTTAAACGATTTCAAACTTATTGCTGGCTCTGAAAAAGGGAGTTCAGAGAGGCACAGGACAAGATTTTTTGGAATTTTATTTGTAAAAATGGACATTTGGTGTTTCTCGCTGTTGATGGGGTCTCTAATTTTTTCAGCATGCGGGTACTTGGAGATCTTCCTGATATTGTTGTTGCACTTTCTGACGAACAATTAATAAAACTTATGAGGTTACTTACGAGTATTCCTCTCCCTCCTCCAGATGAAAGTGTGGAGGAGATAAGTGAGGTATTTCAATGTAGCTTTTTTTTTGAAAATATTATTGGAGAAGGTTGTTACTTGTTACCGTTTTTAGGTGGACAAGACGAATCTGCGGGACAAGGCGAAGATGCACGCCATATTGGAAGTAAACGAAATGGAAGAAAAGACAGTTCCAGCTGAGAAAAAGGATGCAGAAGAAGATGATATTTCCCGAAATCAGCAAGTGGCGTTGGAAATGAACCTTCTTTTAAACCAGGCGGGTTTTAAATGAAGTACTTTTGGCGTGCTTCAAGGGTGTTGGCAAAATTTATTCACTGGTAGTGAGATTATTCTAGGTCTCTTTGATAGTCGGCAGGAAGGAAGAAGTCTTATTAGCTGTTAAAATAGGAAGGATGGGTTGTTCTCTGACAATGAGAAATTTCGATATGACAGTGGATGCGCATCTTGGAGAATTACTTATTGAACAGCCTCAATACGCGAGTTTAGTCCCAGGGAGAAAAACTCTGTTCTTGATCGATAATGTGCATCAAACTGACGAAAATCTTGTAGATATTAAGTATATTTCGGTAAGTTTTCAGTCGTTCGATTTGGTCAAAAAACGTTTCTTATGCATATCTTCTCCTCTGAAAGTGACAGTATTGTGTATATGACAGACTATGATCTGCTAATAGACGTTTTCTGATTTGTGGAAGTTTTGTGAAGCCTCTCTGAACAGTACGAAGTTCATCTGAATTACGCTTATTTTTACATTATAACCTCCTGCTAAACGGTTTATAAATTTGTTTTGTTACCTCCTTGTTATATTGACTTCAAGTCTTATTATTCGGAGCTTTGTTTTCTAATAATTCTAACCTGCAGGCGAATCCCGAAAGCCCATTTTTTGCAACCACTTATAAATCAGTTGAACAGTCAGTAACTATATCATTCAAAAGTTTGAATGTGTCCCTTTATCAGGTAAACGTATCGAGTTTTTTAAGCTAAATTCAGCTACTGTTGGTTGTTTTTTTACGGTATGCTATTTTCGCAAGTTAATTTTTTTTTTTTATGATTCAAGGAGGCTATTCTGGGCCTCAAAGAATTTGCCGAAGAGCTACAGAGAAACATGGAAGAGATTAAAAAAGAAAATCCTCAATTAACAGAACGTCAAGAGGTTGGGAAGCGCAGGCTGTCCAGGATGCTTAGCCAGTCGAGGTTACAAATTCTTCTGTCGAGCGATATTATTTGCTTACTTCATTTCCAGTTTTCTGTAACCCCAAGAATGATAAAGACACTTATTGCGGCGTTGTTGTTCAAATAGTGAAATCATTTTGGGAATTTTTTAGATAATCGGTATCATCGTCAAAATGCTTTTTTATTTTTTATTCTTCAGCACTGTTAGTGTTTCTGGGGAGAAAAGTGATAAGAAGATTAGTGAGCTGCGCCATGAAAGGAAATTACTTGAAGCAGCTGAATATGATCCCACAGTCAAATTATGCGTAAATGCTTCTTTTGACACTCTTGCTGTGTATCTTGGCATGGAAAGCACTTTAAGTACTTCTTTCAAGATATCGAGTGTAACGGCTTCGCTTATTTCTAAAGCGGTAAGTCCTCTGTTGGTTTTTGGAACAAAGTCTCATTGAATAAGCTAGAGCTTTAACTTTATATATTTCTAGCGTAACGTAAATTTATTTGTATGAATTGATGCTTTATTTTAATTTTCGAACAGTAGTTTTCAAGATAAAGATGAACCTTGTAAATTTAGAAAACTACTCAATTAATTGCCGGTCTTCGTGAACTGTTAATTGAAGAATGTAGTGGCGTGACAGTATACAAACAATTACTAACTGTTTGCGGTGAAGACGAAGTTTTCACTCTGGATTTAATGATTTTCAACAGGACAGAACTAGAAAAAAAAAAGATGAATGTTACAGATGTTGACTTAATAGTTAAAGCTCGTCTTGCTCGTTTGAGATTTATATTTTTGAAAGTCTGGCTTTCCAGATTAATGGTTAGTTCGCTGGATTTTATATATTTTCATTGTTTTTATTTCACTGATGTAATTAGTCTGGCATAAATTTTCTCATCGAGTTATATGCTTGTTGAAATTTTTTCTGCACTTTTGATCTACATTTTAAACTGGTTATTAACTGATTACAAAGTTATTTGTTGGATGAAATTATTTCAGTTATGGTTGGGACCTTTTCAAAAAGAAGCTGCTATAGCTGCCTCACAAGCTCAAGCTTTGGCTGCTGAAAAAGCTACAGAAACAGTTGCAAATGTGCGTAATCAACTGATGGATGAAGTACCACCGAGAGCCAAGTTTGATATAGTACTTGCAGCACCTACAGTTCTCGTACCTCAGAGCTCCAAATCGGACAGTGCTCTTGTATTTGATTTTGGTAAATGGCTTTCGACATGCTGTGAAATTCAGTCCTTTGAGCAACAAATACTTCTTTTTGTTCTCTTTTTTTTTTCTTACATATTTTCTGTTATTAATGGAAGAAACACTAGTGCATTTACATAATTTTTTCTTTGTTTCTTTTTCTTTTTTTTACGGTTTGCCTCTACAGCTGTCACCAATAATGTGCGCTTAAGGTCGCTTTTACGACACTTTCATCTCTTTTAGCAAGATTTCTGAATTTCATTTCACAAAATTAATATCCCAGAAAAAAAGTCGCTGTCTATTGTTTTTCCAAAGTATCAGTCTTCTCATGCAGGATTGCTATGTTACAAGGAAGTTTGGCAAGAAGAAATCAGTTGAAATTGTTAGGTCTGAAAATATATTTTAGGCAAATTGGTGATAAATAACGTCATCTCGTGCGAAACGAATCAGCCGAAAGCGTTTATGGATCAGATTAAGATTTCTTTAAATAGCGTTAATTTTGCGATGTGAGCTGTTTTACTAAATCTTGTTTATTTTTCAATCATCTGTGTATAGTTTATCAGATTCTGATGAGTGCTTAGCAAAGTTTTTTTTTTTTTGCAGAGGTTTAATATCTGAAAATGGTGAGATCAGGTCGAAATGTGAAATCCTAGAACCATTGTCATTTGCACTAACAATTATGCGCAGTTTATCTTTTGCATGGTACAAGAGTAAGCCGGAGGTTTCTGTGGATGCCCATATCTCTGCGTTGCAGGTGAGATTTCTGCTGTCTTTCTAATAGCGAACTTCATTTTTTGACGAAAGCATTGTTTAGCATTTAGTTTTGCTAATTGACTGGGCCACTTGTAAGATACGGTACTTATGTTATAGCTGTGTATGTCTCAAGGAGACTATGCCACAATAATGAAAACATTGAGTGGAAATTTGGCTGAAGGAGACGAGGTACCAGCAGAAATTGTTGAAATACCGGAAGATGAAGAGGAGAGCGAGGGGGACAAGGCAAAACCAAGCGAAGATAAAATTGGTGAGAAGTTGGTTGAACAAAAAGCTCCAAAGTCTCCTGATGTTCAGTCGGCAGTGCGTTTCGCTGTGAAGTTTACCGTTGATGAAATTGCTGCTCTTCTCTTTTCAGGATCATCTGATTTGGTAAGTTCATCTTTCATTTCCTGTCTTGTTGTTTTTTATGAGAATTTTTTAGAGTAGTTTTTTAAATTTTACTGTTTTCTTCGAACTTTCATTTAGTTTTGATATGCTTCTAATTTTCAGGAAGACAGCGTTGAAATTGTTGCTCGCGATGACTCGGTTAAGTTTGCAGCAGTACGATTAACTACTGTTCAATTACAAGCTGATATGCTTGAAAACGGTGCTTTGAAAGTCGACTTTTTGCTACAAGGATTTACTATGAGAGATGAAAGAACGTCTAGTATTGGGATCAGAAGGCTTTTGGACAAAAAAGTTGGTCACGTGAAATGTTTGGCCATTACCTTGACTATGTAAAAGAGTCTTGTTTCTTGAATGCATGACTTTTGTAATTGTTTATTTAGGCGGATGAGACGGGGAAGGTCCAGGACAGTTTTATCACTGCTCACTATGAGCAAAATGCGAAAAACGATAAGAATGGTTTGTTATGATTTGTGTCAGAATTATTTTCACTTGTGTTCGTCTGTGAGACCAAGTGTTGTATTCTGACAGCTTTGTATCTTAGGTAACTGTTCTTGTTATAATCTGAAGAAGTTTTTAGTCAAGTTTTCGTCATCTTCGTTCTTCCTGTGTCTCTGCCCCGAATTTATGGGAGCTCTTGCGAGTTTCTTTTCTGTTCCTTCTGATGAGAACGAGGACTTGAACGTTAAACCAGACGCTATTAAAACGTCTATTGAGACTCGTAAAACAGCGACGACTGCACAGCCATCATCTGGTTTGGAGGGTAACAGTTTGTAAAAGTGTTGTTTTGGGGGTTTTTAATTGTTTTTTTGTCATTTGCTATGCACCTTTGCTAATTTTGGATTTCAAATGATTTGGTGACTTACCGAAGCTTTTTTTTATAAATCCTGTCTTTCGTTAATAAATATTTTTCTAGGAACGATCTCAATGGATTGTAAAATGCATGAAGTTGAAGTTATTTTAGTAGAAGATTCAACCAGTCCAGAATCAACTCAGGCACTTTTTTTAACTTTCAATTGTGCCATCAAAGGAATGCATGTAAGTCTTTGGTGATACGTTTTTATGCCGCTTTTGCGCACGTTAGCTTACTTAGTAGCGTTCTTCCAAGGATCATTCCGTTTTGATTCAGTCATTGTAGAAATAATTACTGTAACCTTACTTTTTTTATTGCAACAATTTAGTTAAACATGTCAGGATTTATATTTTGTTTGTCTGTCCTAAAGGCTTTTCAAAACTTCATTTTCCTAATGAGACTTCTATTATGAGCTTTTCGTGTTTTTAATCCTTGATCATACTAATTTTTATATTTTTTTGTGAAACTGACTTTCTGTGTTTTTCTTTACCCTCTTCAAAACTCTTTTTATGGTTTAGGATGGTACCAATCAATTTATCGACGGTGGAGTGAAGAATTTGCAGATGTTTAGCTCCTACTATCAAGAAGAAAAACGTCCGTTGGCATCATATCAGGTTTGTAGATTAATACTTGTTTAGTGGCATAGCTTGGCATGCTTTTCTTTGAGGCGATCGCACTCAACAAACTGCAAATTTTTTTTTACTCATTATTTCAGAATTCTGTTAAATTTTTGTCGACCAGTAATATCTAATATCAAAATTTTTCTGATCCAAAAAGCCAGTTAAAAGATCTTGAGTAAGAGGCTTTTTACTAAGTTATACCTCTTCAAAATTCGGGAATTCTTTATCATTTTACTTAAGCTCACCTTTCAAGTGCTACAACCTTCCTTGCATGCAGGAGGGACTAGTTAATCTTTGGTTCAAAAGCCAGCTTAGATCTAGCACATTTACAGTCGAAAAGTTTCACACGTTTTTCAAGTACAGCCAAAATATGGAAAATAAATTGCTAATTACATAATGAATAAAACTTTTTTTTTTAGAAACGCATATTTTATTGAAAATTTTTTGCTTTAGAAGGTGGAGAGACTCTAAATTAGCAAATGTTAGGATCCAGAATTTTGAACCAATTGAGTAGGGTGAAGTAGAAGCTTCTAGTGCGTTGAAGTAAAACTTCCTGTTTAGGGTCACTTACTGATATCAATTTGAACATTAGCGTAGATTGGAGAAGTTTGAAGAATAGTCTTTTTTTTGATGTACCATGTTTAGTTTCTTCTGTGGCGGTTGTACGACGATTAATTTTTTAATACGAATCTCCAGTTATGATATGTTTTGATCTTTCGGATTCAAAATTGGCTAGTTTTACTAATGAAGAAGCAAGTTAGAGAATTTGAAAGGTGCTTTGTTTGGGCCAAAATTTGGAAATTTCTCTATTTCACTTGGATGAGAACTCATCCTTCCAGGTCATCCCTAAATTTTTTTACTCTGGAAGCCATACTTTAACAAGCAATGAAGTTTAAAAAGGTTTTGAAGTTTTAAGTGGAAGAAGTGTGCAATTCGATGCAGAAATATCTCCTTGTATTACGGAAGATATTTTATATGTTTCGTTTCCGACATTATTCTTTGATTTCTTCAGCAGTTTAGGTTATGAATCCCATCAGTTTAACAATGAAAGGAGTTATTGGCACTTCAAAATCTCAAGAATTTGAAATTGAACTAACACCAGTTCATTTAAAAATTTCTCCAAGTATTATTAGGCTTCTCAGCGCTGTTTCGTCAAGTTTCTCTGCAGCAAATCAGTCTCAGGTAAGTATAATCGTGGTCAAGAAATTTTTTCACTAGTCACTGTACCTCCCTCTGCAAAATTTTGAAGTAAGCTACATTAATTTTATTAACATTTCAATTAAAGGCTTTTTAGGATGAAGTTCCTAACAGTTTATTTATTTATTTATTCTTTTTACTTCTACTTGTGACTTTATCAGTAATATTACGCCCGTATTTTCAGAACGTTGTGAAAAAAAAGCGAATTCCTGTTTTGAAAAAATATCCGGATTATTGGGGAAAGAAGAAAATTGATCGAAATAAATTCTGGTGGTTACGTAGCAAAGCAGTTTCAACATATGATGAAGTACCATTCGATTATGGAATTGATGTTGTCGAGGGACCTGATCACGAGGAAAAGGTATTGTTTAATTTAATAGCTGAACAGTTCAAATCGTCTTCTTTAGGCGCTAATTAAAATGCAGTCTTTGGTGGTAACTGTGGAAGCAGGGACGGGTAAATTGACAACTCCTATGATCCTACTTGAGACTTCCCTTGACGGAGTCGTCTCAGATTGGAGTTCACTGTTGACAGCAAAAGCTACGTTGACATTACAAGTTTGTATTACTTTTTGAAAGATTTTATATATTTACTTCACTTTTAGAAGTCTTCGAGAAACTTAGTAGAAACAGACCATTCTATGGGATAACACAGTCTCATTCGCCTTTTGAAGGCAGTTTGCTGCACCCATTTGTTATTTTAAAATTTTTAGCTGCTTTATATATTTCAAAGACTTTCATATTTGTAGAATTTAGGTCTATTTTGCAATATATCTTTTTTTTTTTTGTTTTTTGCTATGATTGTGCTCATTTTTATGTTTCTATGCATTTTTTTTGTTTATTAAAATATTCTAGGTTTCATACTATAATGACAGGTTTTGTGTATGGGAACCTGTGATTGAACCTATTGAGGTCGGAGACGGAGTTTGGGAGAAATGGAAATTGGATTGCGAAGTAATGCTATATTTGTTTTGTCACTTGCTTCCTTTATATCTGCTCTTTTTTCTGATTTATTGAAATTAACTACTTTCACTTTTACTGCTTCAATATTATTTCATTCGGTTTAAAACTGTAGGTCATCTATTTTGAGGATAATCTGTGCTGTAAATAACTCCCTAATTTTTTTAGCTTGTAACTAACAGTGAAGCTGAAATAGCTCAAGTAGCTCAGGCACCACACAGTATGGACCAACCATTAGCTAAAGTTCCCAAACAGTCAGTGAAAATAAATGCGTTGAATATGATGAATATTACAGTGACAAAGTCTTTTGTCGAAATTCTTAATGAACTTGGCGAGGTTATTTTTCAACCATGTCGCAACACTCCATTACGCACTGTTCTCCTACAGGTTGTTTTTCGTATTTTAGTCACTGCAAGCTGCAGCAAAACAAGTTTCGCCTCAACGCGGCCGAGAACTGCCTGGTAATGCTCGTTATTTAATACTTAACAACACCGGAATGGATATTACAGTAGGAAATTCCGAAAGTTTGAAGGTACATCAGATTATATGCTAAATTTCTAATTTTAATACTTTGCCATTTCTTTTTACTTTCTTGGTGCTGTACCATTAGAGGTTAGTGTAGTTTGCTTGAAATTATTGTTAGTTATTTTCCAGGAAATTTTGTGCACCAATCAGTTTTTGTTTGTTACACTTCTTTCTTGAACTAACTCAAATTGCAGGTAAACCAAACTGGTGATTCTATTGTTGCTCAAAAAAACAAATATGTTGATCTAGAAGTTCCTGCAGACAACGAAATTATTGGTTTAAGTCAGAGCCAAAGTGTTAAAAAGGCTATTCTCCGGCTTTCTTTTGATGAATTCCATACCGACCGTGAGGTAGTTAGTTATTAACTATAATTATTTCCAAATGCAGTCTCTCAAAAAACTGGTAGAAAATTTTTGCTTCTAATTAACGGTTTAAATTATTTGCAAATTCTTTTTCTCTTTTTCCCAATAAGCTTTGTTTTTGGTTGTAAAACATTGAAATTATTTTCTTTTTGCCACTACTCTATACTGTTATTACTAGTTTGCTACAGATCAATGTTATGAGAGCGGAAGTACGAGTTCTAAATTTGCCGCGGAAAGATGAAAGAGGTCAGAACTGGAAAGCGGTGTCTGAGACGAAAATTGTGGATTTGAGACGGCTCATTACTCTTAGATCTTTGATACAGGTAATCCAGGAGTGAAGAAAGTCTTTTTCAACCTCAATATAGATCTCTTTGATTCTGGCTTTTGTGTTTCCTTGTTATCTGAATAGTATTGCTGGATTGTTTATTACCTACTTTAAGTTTGTAAACCATACCAATCTACCTTTTGAAATCCACTCAATGCTCAACGAAGCTCGATTAGAGCTGTGTGGTGTTGCTACAGTTAACTCAGAACCGCTAGATATTGCATTAGAAGCTCTTTACTCACCGATGGGAAAGTTTTATCTGAAACCAGTTGGCGAGAAGTAAGTTCTGATATTAAAGAGGACTTTTTGTTTTTCACATTAGTAAATAATTTTTGAGCTTTAATTGATTTTTATTTACTTTTTAACTACTATTTGTGACCAATTCTGAACACTTTAAACAGTAAGTTCCAGTTACTCTTATATTTATTTCTATCATTTCATTGAGTTTACTGAACGAATTTTTCGGACAAAGCGAAATAAATTCTTGAAGGTGGCTTAGGGATTGATATCTCGAGGCAGCAATCTGATGCTTTCATACTCTACTATCCTTTCCTCCCTAAAATTCGCTTTCTGTCACAACTTTTCAATTTCATTTCTCACATTGATCAAATGAGACACTTCTTTAGCTATGAGATGAGCAACGAACCAATATCTTGGCATACCTTTGAGGACAAACAGCGCGAAGTTATTCGCTGTGATTCTTCGGCTGATCCCAATGCCGCATTTTATGCAGCTTTAGTGATCCAACAAATCCCCATCAAGGGTGAGAGGGGCAGTAATTTCTCCGACACCTCCTTCACTGTTCACATATATCAGCCCCTCACACTTCATAATTTCCTTCCAGTTCCACTGCGTGTCTTAAATCCGGTGAGATACGACCATAAGTTATGGCCTTATGGCAGATAAAACTGAATATCATTAAATTATCGATTCCATGTTCCCAGCAAATTCGACCGTTTTATAAAGCTTTTTGTTCGGAATAGATAATTCTTTTTTTAACGATTATAATAAGTTTCAGATAGAAAAGACGCTTGAAGGAGGTGAAGAAATGGACTTCAACGTTTATCCTCATCAGAAAATCTTCTTTGAGGTTTCAAATGTGTTATTTTTCACTATGCGTCTCGAAATTTTTTGATTTATTAGAAGCTGTTCCACCTTACTGGTACTGCTTTTTAGCTATCTTATCGAAACGAAATGTACCATGGTGAAATTGAGTATGCTTTGGATCACGAAGATCTTGAAGTAGTGACATTAGAGACAAAAGATGACGGAGTGATACTGGTAATTGTCTTTGTTTGAAGTCTTTGAAGTGGTTTTTTGGTAAATATATTACGCCTTCATTATTCTCTCGTCATTTGGCTTCCTTTTAGAACCTTGGAGTTCATTGGAGCACTGAGCACCGTAGAATGGATGTGGAAATCTATTCTCCGTACTGGTTTGTAAATAATACGGGTAAAACTCTGAAGTACGTGGTAAGTGCATCACTTCAAATTTATTTTGAATTTCAAGACAGGAAGCAGAATATGTAGTCTCTTTGTTCTTGTCTATCGTCTTGTCGCACTTTGAAGAATAGATTTCAGCTTTCAAAACTGCAGCTCCTCTGAATGGTTTTGTTTGAAAGAAAAAGTTTTTTTTTTTGCATGTCTTTATCCCGATGTTTGTTTCACTAGCAAATTGCTGCAAGCTAGAGACGTTTGGCTTGGTCATATCTTGCTGTTTTTTGTTTTCAAATTTGCTGTGTGGTCCGACTTCATAGTTCCACCATTGTTTTTTTGCTGATGTAAAACCAGATATCCTGTTAGAGAGGAGAGAGCTTAGGTCAACTTAATACCATCGTTTGAAATAATTGGTGCCATTTTTAGGTATTTCTTTAGCCTTAAATTCTTTGTCTTACATAATAGGCACGTTTCTTGCAGTTAATGGTTAGATTTGATGATAATGATGTGTATTAAGTTTGACTTTTCAAGGTCGATGTTCCTTTTTTTTATTTTTATTTTTTGTCTTATATTGCTGATTAGAGTTATTATGTTGTTTGTTAGCAAAATTTGAAGTGTTGGGGAATTGAATATTACAGTTGGAAGGGTAATATTTTTAAAGCAACCATGGAACTATTCTGAAAGTTAAGATTTTTTTCCTCTATAGTTCTAACATATGAAATTAATTAAAAACAGATATTTTTCTGGCATTGTTTTTCCTTGTGGTTGTAAAATAGTTTGGAACAGGTTGCAAAGTGATATTCTTTATATAAAGTTACTCGGTTTGCTTTGGAGCTGTTGCATGGTAGTTATGTTTTCTCTCTTGTTTTTGTCACGTTTACCCTCTGGTATCAAAATGCTGTAATTATCCGCTGGTTGAGAAGAACTAGCAGATTTATGATACTTTTTACCGATGTTTCGTGTTTTATTCGAAAGTGAGTTCGTTTTTACCTCTGTTTGTTGTCAATTTGTGCTATTTTTTGGAAGAACGAGAGCACTATTTAGTACTGCCTGAAGAGTATCTGGGTTTGTATATTTTTTGCTTTGCACGATATCCAAAGGTTTTATTAACTCCTGGCCCAATGTTAGTAAGTTTTGATTTCTTGTATCATCTCCTCTTTCTTTTCCCAGAACTTCTTGAAGCTCTAGGCGTTGGTAGCTAAATGTAATTGACAGCTTCTCTCCAAAGTTATTCTCTAGGTTACCATATAAATATTTTTTTCTAGAAGTCTTATTCCTTTCAATACTCCTTTGCTAAGCCTTTCCGAGTTTCCTAGTGCTGCAGGGATAGTTGATACCGGCTTTTATTTTTTTGGGAAGGTTGAAGATGAAACCGAACTTTATAAATTGCGAAGAAATAATGTCATTTTCTGTTCAGTTTTTTGATCAGGCAGTAATTTTTAAAACAAAGGGAGGAGAGGATCAGGAAACCTTTGCATGGCTGCTTTAAGAAATAGTGTTTGTTTGTGTTTTCAATCTTTTTATACTTGCATAGCCCTGCTGCTTGAACACTGGGGTCATTCTCCGTGTTTTCGTTGGTTTCATCTGTGTCACTTGATTTCTAGTTACTCTGTTATTTTCTTTTAAAACCTTTGATATTTTTTACACCTTTGGCCATCCGAATTACTCTATTAGTGGCTCGTTTGCAGTCGCTAGGATGGTTTTGTTTGCTTCCGAGGGGATCTAACTTTTGAGGTGCTTCAGCGTTAGGATTTATCTTCGTTTAGGAAAGTGGATCAAAGACTAAATCAACGTCATTACATTGCTTTACCTCGCAAAGTGGAGTTCGTCAGGTACTTTTCTTTCCCTCTCAGTAGCATGGTTTTTTCGATAAATTTTATTGTTTTTAACACCTATTTTTCTGTTGTTGTTAAGCTTCTAACTTTAATTGCACTTCGGCTCTAACATCGATGTACTAGTCGAGTTCTTAACTGGTTGTATGCGTAGATTTGTTTTTGGGCTCATAAATCAGTTACGCAGTAAGGAATTATTCTTTTAAATAATGCATATTTTCTGCCGTACCAAGTCACAATAAGTCGGTAATTAATAGAGTTAGTTGTTACCTCAGTATTAAGTTTCGCAAGTAACATTTTCAACTTTGAAAATTGATAATCTTCATAATTTTGATTGTTGTAGAGATCAGAATTTGATCGATTTTTTGAAATGCAGTCCCAGTTATCAGAAGAGAGTTGAAATAAAGGCGAACGCTTTGCTACATTTTTTTAATACGATAAATTCTAACACTATGTGAAGAACATTTCGAATATTACTAAATTTATTTGATCAAATTAGTAGTATATTTGTGAAGGTTTTGGTTGTAGTCTAAGTCACTGGCATTTACTAGTTTTGTAATGAGAATTTACGAAGGTTAAAACGTTCGGCCGCATTTGGATTGATCTGGTTCCATTCGCGGATGCAGCTCATTAGAATGCAAGCTGTTTACCTCTTGTTTTTAGTCCATTCTTGCAGTTTAAAAGTTTATTATGTAACTGTTACCTAGCTCCTTGTTCAGCACTTATTATTCCAGAACTGCTAGGAAAGTACTTTTTGGTTTCTTTTATCATTCTGTTCTTTCTATTACATTAAGTTTTAACGTCAAGGTTACTTTGCAATTTGAATGTTTCGAAATATATATGTGCTCAATAGGGATTGTGACATATTTTTTTGAAATGAATTTTTTAATATTACTTCTAAAAGTTTTCTTCTGCATTCTCATTATGGTCTTAAATCCGCATTCAGTAACATTTTGTAGATGCTAGATTTTCAGTCGCAGCTTGTTATACCAGACTCTCTTGCATATGATTAATGCTTGTTTCTTGCTCAAGAATTTTTTAAAAAATCTCTGTTTCTGTGATATTTAATCGGAAGGGATTTCACGATATTTCCAACGTCCTTTGTCCTTGGTGCATTGAATGTATTAGAAGCAAATGCCTTCAATTCTGTCATCTCATTTCACGGGCTTGCTTCATGCTTCCACCGCTCTTTTGTTTCTGGGTGTGTTCGAGTTCTGCATACATATGTGTTTACAGTTTTGCATTTTGAAAGTTCTGCAAAAAAATGTTCCAATTGACAGTGATCTTCATATTACAGGCAGACAGGACAGTTACACATGAGTCTTTCAGTGGTCCAGCATTTCTACATTTTGAAGCTGCAGAATTCCTCAACAAGAAAAAAGTATTTTTTGATATTTGGAATTTAAATCGCTCACAGTGGAGTTTTATTTTTTTGTGTATCTTTCTGTTCAGTTTCTTTTTTTTTGTAGTAAAAAACTTTAAATATGTAAAAGTTAGTATCTCTTTTAATTGACATTTTTAAAAAATATGCTAAGTACCTTAAAATACCCATTTGTGAATGCGCATATTACAGTCGAAAATACAACTAGCAGGAACACACTGGTCAGATGAGTTTCCCCTGGATGCTGTTGGTAATGCTGGACGCATTACTTGCAAATCAGATGAACGAGATTTTGAAGTATAGCTTCTTTTTTCTTCAGAAATTTATAAGGCTTAGCCTTGATGTAGCCTCTCTTGTTTGGCAGTTGATTTTTGGCGACGGAAACTCGTCAGAAACGCTTTTTAGAATATTTGAATTGGGAAGGAAATGCTCATTATGTTGCCATGAGCGTTGTTTGAATTTTCATATCTTTATACATTTTATCGTTTTTGGCTCTACGATTTAGGTGTCGTTGGATGTTCAACTATGCCAGTCCGGGCTTACAAAAGTAGTCACGTTTTCGCCGTTCTACATGGTCAGTAATGTAAGCAACTTTGACATGGAAGTTAAGGAATTTGGAAAGGATGAGTGGACGTTTGTCAAAGCAGAAACGGTATGGCTTTTTCATTGCTTTTCTTTATTATTTTTCGATCATTAGAGATTTTCACTGCTGAGTCTAGTAATATTTCTGTATAAATTACAGTGTGTCGGTCTTTGGCCTCGTCAGGAGCAAAAACGGAAGTATCTTGTGGTTCGATATGCAGGAACAGTGGAAGAATCTATCATGTTTCCATTCACGGAGAATTTTGAACAGTTCTGCTTCATAAATAACGCCGTAATTACCTTTCCAATTGCAACTTAATGAGTTTTAGTTATTAAATTGGCAAGTCTCATTTATTCAGTCTTTTAGTACCTCGGTATATACGTCACTTGCACTCTTGGCGAATCTTCTTCTGTCATAAGGTTGGAACCTTTTTCTCCTGGCATGGCTCCTGCTCTCATTATGAATGCTACCGATGTTCCGATTGGATACTCTCAAAAAGGTGCTCTCGGTTATCTTGTTGCATTATTTTCAGTTCCTTTACCAGCCTTAGGCAACTTTGCTTCTATAAATGGCAGTTGTAAGAAATGAACAAAGAATTTCAAAGCTAGGAAAATTTGGTGACACCTGTGGTGATCTCGTTTTTTCGCAAATGCTTGATTATATAATGCATTTTAGCTGTAAGTAGCTACTTTAAGCTGATAAAAAAATTTGTGGATTTATAGTCGTTGAGCATTATGAATTTTTAGTGACCTGTATTTTACTCGAACACTTTCAAATGGGTCTTTATTTTTTCGGAAAAAGCGCACCTTTATTCGTTCTTTTTAATTTTATTCAATCATTATTTGGTTACTTGGCGTCCACAATTATTTTCCAGGTCATCATTCGAGTGAAGTTCTTTCACCAGGAGAATATTGCTATTTTACATGGTCTGACGTAACGTTGGAACGGCTGCTGAAATGGTCCGCCGCCAAAAATGAACATTTTGATGGGCTATTTAGAAATGCCTATGAATCATTTTCAGTGCCCAATTCTCCCAAGTCTTATTTCTGGGTATATTTTTCT